ATATCCCGTAGTAAAATCTTTCTGGGTGACACTTGCAGGAGATCCTCATCCACCATGGGATTCATCTCCAGTGCAAAATATGTGATATCCGAGGGGTGTTGCAATTTCTTGACGGGTATGAAGTAACGCTGAGGGACAACACTCATTGGGGTACATTCCACTGTAATACTAAAGGACTCGGACGCACGAACCACGCCATTGCGTGGAACAAACTTGAAATGAGCATCCAACGTCTTTATAGGCACCACGGCAGTGGAAGAAACCATTCCTCCTCCTCCTCCTGCAGCAGCAGCAGGGGCATTATTCACATGAGTACTACTAGTATTATTATTACTATTCCCAGCATTCCCACCACTCACAGTGCTGGTTCCATTGTTGGTCAAATTGCTGTTGATAATATTGCCACAGCAACGGACAGGGTCCAGTACAACAAAAGCTGTCTCATCGGTCGCACGTAACAACATGGTAAACTTACAGGCTTCATATGCAATAGCGTGGGTAACAATTGCCATTGGGCAGCGCATAAAACTGGTAGCCACTACACCCTCACCGGGTTCAATGAAGAAAGATGGTGTTGGTACGGGAGTTGCTAATTTGATGGGCATCTTTAAGGGAGACAATGCATTTGCTAACTCCGCACCAGGTGCTAAGAAAGATGTGTCATTTACAGACTGCGGTGGTGAATTCCCTGCAGCAAGTCCATCTATTGTCAGAGTTGATGGGGCAGAGAATAATTTTGACCCTGCAGTGGGTCTCGTAGATGCGGCGGTGGCTTCCCCATCCTCTTCACCCTCCATAGGTACAAGTGTAATGTCAACAGGAATGACGCGATTGGCCTCCTTGTCTTTTGTTTCGCACAACAAAAATGTGATGGTGCCACTCTGTGCAGGCGGTATACATTCCGTCGTCCGTGTACATGTGAGAGTAAGTACTATAATAGTTGATTCACACGCATTCATCTCCGGCAACGCCACGCCGTCGCAGAGCAGTAAAGAAAGCAGTTCCGGATGTTGTAGCTGACGTGCCTTTGGCTTCACTGGCATCTTTTCATCCTCACTCTCTGAAAGCTCATTTGGACCAACAATACCACCACCAGCAGCTCCAGCAGCCTCTCCCAATGTCGACGTCGTGTTGGGGTCAACCTCTTTCCCCATGAGGGCGCATCGAAGCAACTCAATTTGTCGCATTGCCACCACCACCTTTTCCAACTTATTCTTGCGGCGGTAAATCTTCAACTTCTGCTCAAGTTTTTCAATCTTCTCCTCAAGCTTGCGAATGGAGCCGGAGCTCGCGCCACCATGCTCCATC